AAAGCTGAGGTGGGAAGATTGAAGGGTGAAAGGTAGAGAGAGGGTACCAAATCCTCCAGCTAGCTCAGTTCCATATAAAAACTCTGAGTCTCTTCTTCACATTACTCCCAGCCTATCTCTCTTTAGAGGGGCTGAAGCTAAGGATAGCCAGCTGAAGGCACCTGGCTGATGGCTGAGGATCCAGTGAGACACTATATACCAACTGCCCAACAGGCACTTAGCATATGGGCAGCAGTCAATAAGTATTAGTTCCCTCCCCATGTCACAAGGTCAGTTATACCTGTAAATCCCACTGAGGCTTCAAGGCTCAGGCCTTATCAACTCTTCTTTCAGAGCCCCTCCAGAGTACTCCAGACCAAAATGGCCCAGTTTACAGGAATCACATATTCAGTACCCACTGCATGACAGGTGCTATACTAGATGACTTACATATAATCCTATTCAATTTTCACAGTGGCCTTATTATGCCCATTTTAGAGAAGAGAAACAAGCTCTGAGAAGGGAAATGACTGGCCCAAGGACACACATCTAGGAAGTGGCAAAGGTGAAATTTGAACCCAAGGCTGCCCGATCCCAAAGCCAAGCACTTTCAACAGCACTTCATTTCTGTCATCTGCAAAAGGCCTCTGATCTTCCACTGAGTGTCCTACAGGTAGCCTGGAAGTTCTCTAAGGAAAGAGACTGGGCCTGACGCTATGACCACTCTCCACTGGACAATCACCTGCAGGTGGCAAGGCTTTAAATATTGTATTGTGAAACAAATGAAAACAGTTAAATTTCAAACAATGTAGTAAGCACAGTTCATAAATTCCTCATATGAAAAACTATTCATGATGTTGGACTGCCTGAGTCCTGAGCCCTGCAATAAGCTTGCTCTGTTCTGTTCCCTGGTTAGGACTGAGGCTAATACCGGTCACAGGTTGAGCTCTAAACCTGACACCGACAGTGATCCGACCTGTCACAACACAAACCCCGACAGACCCTAGGCACAGGCTGAGCCCTGACTGGGACATAAACTGAGCCTTGGTCTCAGCATAGACGCAGCCCCGACAGGTCTTAAATGAGCCCTGAAAACCGTCCTAAAAGAGCGTCCCCTTCGCCTGTCCTTTAGCAGCAGAATCGGGTCGTGACCTCTAGCCGCTCTGAGGCCCTGACTGCCTCCTCCCTCCCAGGAACACCGACTCACTCCAGACCCCCGCCCCGTGTTGCTCGGAGGGACACCTGCTGTCTCGCTTTTACCTTAGCTGACCACAGCGGGAGCGGTGGCGCGCACCCCCACCTGCAGGTCTCTCCGCCGAGAACGCGGAAGAGGCGGTGCTAGACCCGGGGGGAGGGCCCCAAGCAGAGAGGGGCGTGAGGGGGCGGTGCTGCGCTTGCGCCCTAATGGCCACAGAGAGGGGTGCGACCTGAGTATCTGCGCATGCGTGACATGCGAAGGGCAGGGAGAGCGCTGGCTAAGGGGTGGGGCTTAGCTCCTTTCCACGCCTTCTTTTCCTAGTTTTAGCGTCCGGAAGCCACTGAAGGGCCTGGAGGGACGAGACCTGGCAGATGCAGGTTTAATCAGTATTTACTGAACTCTTCTGCATGCCTGAAAGGAATTTTAAATTATTTTTATATATGAATAAATGCTGCTAGTCTTCTCTAAAACGGGCTAATTCTGTAAAATTTCTTTAAAACTATGGATGCCTAGAATTTCACTTCTGTGTTTGAGTAAAACATTACCTCCATTAGTAAAAAAACAAGGGAGCTGGGGTTGTGGCTTAGTGGTAGAACACTTGCCTAGTACATGTGAGGCACTGGATTTGATCCTCAGCATCACATTAAAAAATAATAAAGTATTATGTTCATCTACAACTAAAGCATATTTTTTAAAAACAAAATTTTAAAAAGTTTGTTTCTTATAGAAAAACAGCTGTAAAAGGATTAATGCCGCAACCGACCTTGCCACGACACTTCCCTAGGCTGCAGGTGCCATGAGAGGACAGTGTTTACTTGGATTTAATTCAGGTTCTGACGCTCAGTGTTTCCTTCTTTGTAAGATGGAAGTAAACATCCCTTCCCTGCCTGACTCAGCTTGTAGTGAAGGTCTGGTGAGCAATGCTACTGAAAGAGCTTCCTGGGGGTTCGGGATATAGTTTGGTTGGTAGAGTGCTTGCTTTGCATGCACAAGGCCCCCAAACAACACCCCAACACCACCAAAAAAAAAAAAAGAATTCTTGGACTGTCCATCATTCACGCCCCCCACCCCAACATTTGTTTCCTTTCCCCTTCTTGGGCAGGTTTTCTCACCTGAATGATGGAAGGAGGTGGGGAACATTAAGATTTTGCTAAATTTTCCAATCTGGGTGAAAACTGGGGACATAGAATCTTCTCCCAAGCTTCTGTATTGGGTCCTGCTAGAATCCCTCAGTCCAACCTGAAAGCTCCTGGGTATCCCAGCCTCTCCCACGCATCACCTTTCAGGCCCACCATCAAAACTTTAAGTCCTCAAGAGTCTTGCTGGCCTGTTCTCCTTACTGTCTTAATTGCCAGTTGGTCCAGAGTCGCTCAGGCCTATGTTGTGATCCATATTCTCAAAGTTGCTATGCCCCAACATGGCAAACAAGTTTAGTTAATATTGGATGAGGGTGCTGAGGGGCTCTGAGGAAGGGGGCTCCTCCAAGGCAGCTGGAACTCCAGCCATGTTTGTGGGTTCATTTCACCACATATTCAACAGCTCCCTGCATAGAGTGGCAGAAGTGCACTTAAAAGAGGCTGTAGTGTTCATGGGAGCCAAGGTTGGTGGGGCATCCTCACCAGTGGGATGCTGGGTCCCAGGGTGAAGAAGATGGCTTACTCCCTTGTTCCCTGTTCCCAAGATGATTATGGATCTTGATCCAACAGGAAAACAAAGTCCAGCCTAGGCTTCCCAACCAATCTACTACTTTACCTCTTTTTTTTTTTTTAATTTTTAGTTGTAGTTGGACACAACACCTTTATTTTACTTATTTATTTTTATGTGGTACTGAGGATCAAACCCAGGGTCTCACACGTGCTAGGGGAGCACTCTACTGCTGAGCCACAACCCCAGCCCCTGTTACTCTACCTCTAATGCTTTGCTTCTCTTAAGTCTCTGTTCTGCTAGGTTTTGCCCTATTGCTGAGGAGAGGCTCTTTTCTCAAGTCACTAAGCCCCAGTTCTTTCTCTTTCTTTCTCTCTCCTCTAAGCATCCCTCTCTGAATCTCTCAAAGCAATTTTTGTGTTGGCTTCCTGCTGTCTTAATTGCCAGTTGGTCCACAGTCACTCAGGCCATGTATGGTGCAAACCTTGGGCCACACAGTTCTGAGATAAATCTTCATTCTATTTCAAAATGACCATGAACCCAGCGCATGGACTTTCTAACAGCCTGATATGTCCAATGATTGCGGAGGTAGTGAGCAATCTGACATAGGATTTGTGCAAACAGCACCCTCTTAGAATGCTGGACTAAGGACCTCCTCTGGAGCACCAGAAGAAGGAACAGAAGAATGTAGGCCTTTCAGATTCTAGAGCAGTGAAAGGATGAAGGGATACTGGAGTCTGCAAGAGAAGCCAGCTAGCTAAAGACAAACTTTAGCTAGCTATTATATGTCAAGCACTCACAATTGTACCTGAAACATAGCAAGCATTAGCTATTATTATTAATATTATTATGAAGGATTCATAGACTGTCTAATGAAGGTGCTTAGAGATCAATCAATCCTTCACTCCTACTTCTGATGTGAAATAGCTGAGGAATACAGGTTTAAAGGAGGGTTGGTACTTATATGGAACTTTGGCGGGGGATGGGACTGGAACCCAGGTCTCTACTTCCAAGCTTCTGTACAAAGCCAGGCTGGCACTGTTGCACGTAGAAGGGGAGCTCTAGGTGGGCCTTTGCTGACTTGATAAAAACCAAGCCAAATGGATAAGATGGTTAACAACAACAAAAAGTACCAAGCTGTTTTTCAACTCCTATCTGGAAAGATTGTGGGTTAAGGTCAGTGGGATAACAAGACCTGAGCCAAAAGATTCAGATGTCTTCTGGGGAATAAGCTCAGGAGTTAGCCCCATGTCCTACCTCCACCACTTTGAGATCCAGCCAACAACAAACACCTTCCTTCTGAAATGGCTTCCTTTCCTATAATTAAGGTTGGGACTCTATATCCACTGTCCCTTCATTTGTTAGTTCTCCTAACCCCCATATGAAGGGGTGAGATCTTAACTATAGCCAATGCCAGGTAACTTGAACTAAAACTAAGAAAATTTCACCACCAGATTTGAGTACTCCAAAGGCAAGGGCCAGCCCTCTGCTTCCCAAGGGTCTAGAATTCTCAGAGTCCTGGGAGAACCTTAGGACTGGAGAGCTGGACCAGACATGATCATACCAGCCAGCCAACTACATGGCCCATGTTCTGAGGGCAAAAAGCCCTTCCAGCCCCATTCTGGCCTGGCACATTCCATGGTCTGCCAAGAGCCATGTGGCACCCAGACCACAGCTTCCCACAAGTGGATGCTTTAGTTGGTCTCTTTTACTTTACCAAAAATAACAACAATAAAGTCTCCCTTCTATTTCACAAAAATAGATTTCCCTCCCCCTGACCCCTATGCCATCAGCCCTTGCCACAGTCTAGAATCCACTGTGCAAGCTGCAGTCCACTCTGGGGGGAAGCTCCTACTCCCCTCACTCCAGAGCCGCAGACAAAGCTGCCAGGCCAGCATGTTTCCCTTGGGAACTTCTCTGGAGGCAGCAAAGGCAGAAATCCCAGGCCCAGATGGCTGGCCCCAAGAGCCCCATCTGTTTCCCCATTGGGCAGGCAGTTCTAGGCTGTCAAGAAGGGCATAATTTTGGAGGCTTGGCTCAGCAGGCAACCCAGCCAACCCAAGGGGTGGTGGGGCTCTCTGGCTAGAAATTCTTGCTCAGAGCAGGAACAGCTGTGTCCTGAAGAGGGTTTGTAAAACCCTTTTTCCATGTGCATTTCTGTGTAACAATCAGGTCCTCATTTTGGAGGCAAGCCCCTGGTCTTTAATCCAAGTCCGTGAAAGACAGTTTTCCCCTCTTCTCCCAGCTTTAGTATCCTCCTTTGTACAATGAGAGACAGACTGGATTATTCTCAGGTCCCTCTGGTATTCCATCCTGGCCTCCCATTATAGAGGCTTTGGGAGGGCAGAATCCTGTTCCTGCCTTAGTTTCCCCACCTGTGTTGTGTGGGCACAGGGCTGGGCAAGAAGTTATTGAGCAGTGAATGAACATCCCAGTCTCTCTGTAGATGGCTGTACTTGGAGATCCAATCATCTGGAATGTCTCAGGAATAGGTGGGAAGGAGGCAGGTACTTTCAGGATGGCGTCTCTCCATCAGCTATAAGATCCTCAGTGTCCTGGGCTAGGAGAGAGGACTTCAGATTTCCCAGTTCAAATCCACTGGATCCTTGGACTGGAGGATTATTTTGTGCTGGGTTTCAGATCCTAAGAGTCAGTTTTGTATATTCTGGGAGCTAGAATGGAGTCCAGGATTCCTGGTTTAAAAGCCAGGGGACCTTTGTGAACATTAGAGATCATTCCCAAACCCCAGGAGGCACTCTATTATCAGGGCTTTCTGGAGACATGGGCATCCCTGACCGAGCAAATCAGAACCCACATCTGTGGTGGGCCAGAGGATTAAGGAACTCAGGGTAAGCTTCCCCCTTCCAATCTCTACCCAGGTCCCCAGGATTCATACTAATGGAAGATGGTACCCTGGAAGCTTCCACCATAAAGGTACATCTACACTTGTACACATGGTCAGATACCCTGAGAGGGGATAACAACTTGTCAAGACTCCTACAGTGGTCATGGTCTAGTGGTCCCAATCTCTTCATGCATCCATTCATCTCTCCATTCACCCAACATCTATGGAGAGCCTACTATGTGCCAGGGAGGGCCTATCTCTCACAGATAGGCATCTCATAGTCAAGATCTCACACACACACTCACACTGGCATCTGTGTTCCAACTTACATAGAGGCCACTTACTCTCTTGCTGTCACCTCAGCCACAGTCACATCCACATTCCCCAAATAGGAACCACTATGGAAAGGTCAGAGAAGAAACTGGATAGCCCACCCTTCTCCCAGACTTCATGCCAGGGGGCTTGACTCCTCCTTTCTTTCCATTTGCCCACTTGAAGCCCTCCCTTCTCTATTCACAAGCAGCGAGGAGGACATGTAGGCAGACTTCTGAGAACCAGAAGTCCACAGGTATTGGGTATGTGGAGGGGTCCTAGGGCCTTCAGATTCCTCTAACATCAGACTCCCAAGGATGCCCTCCCCCAGCCACGCTGTTGCAGATGGTCCATCTGATGAGCAACAATGTCCAGGACTAGGCTCAGTGACAAATCCGCTCTGTCATTTCCCTCTGTAGAGACACAAGGTGAGGAGGGGTCAGTCTGAGTTCATCTTGCCAGATAGCCACTTCCCAAACCATAGGACCCAACCATTCTTCTGTTTGAGCCTGGCCCCTCCCGCCCTGGACCCCAACTGTAGTCCGCAGACTGGATTCACTGTAGCATGGAATCCATTGTCGAACGAATTGCTTCCCCTAACGTATTCACTTGGTTATTTGAATTCTGTATAGTAGGCAGCCTTTGGATCTGAAAACTCCCAAAAGCTAGCCTTGGCAGGGGAAGCAATGGAGTTTTGGCCTCACCAGTGGCTCCAGCTCCCGCTGGTCTACCAGGCTGAACTCTCGAATGAAGTAGTAGAAGTGCTTGTAGCAGGTGTTGACGTGTGCTTCTGCCCCCATGCTGAGGATGCTGTCGAAGTGGTGGATATAGACATGGACAAAGACTCGGAAGAGGCGGGTCAGGATCTTGGTACAGACCTGCTGGAAGTTCTTGGGGAAGGGAACACCTAGAGGCCAGAGAGGGACAGAAAGAGGGATCAACATCCTACTGACAAAATTTTGCCAACCCTCCCCTCCCCACACAGATTGCTTTTACTGTTTGTTTGTTTTTTCTCCCCAGTACATATCTCAGCACATTTGTCCTGGAGAGAGAGAAAAAGAGAGAGGAGGACAGGGAGTGTGAGCCAGAGACAGCCAGACAGACAGACATGTTTTGTTATCTCCCATGTTTTTTTTTTTTTCCCCCCAGTGCTGGGGACTGAATCCAGGACCTTCTGCATGCTAGGCCATTCCAGACAAGTGCTGTGCCACTCAGCTCTATCCCTAGCCTCTCCCATAGTATATTTTTTAATGAAGCACAAATCTGACTGTGCCTCCCTGCTGCTGAAATGTAAATCAGCTTCTAAGTTTTCCCATCCTCTAAAGCAGGGCTTTGCAACTTTGTTGCCGGTGACTGATCAACCCTTCTCAGATCATGATGAAAGTTATGGCTCAAACTCTCCCCAAGCAAGGTGTGTATCTGCAGGGATGCTCACATCACACCCTTCTATACAATTCCAAGGAGGGGTGATTTGGGTCTGCAGGGCTGGGATTGTGGCTCAAGTGGTAGAATGCTTGCCTAGCACCTGTGAGGCAATGGGTTCGATCCTCAACACCACACCAAAATAAAATATTGTATCCACCTAAAACTAAAAAATATTTAAAAAAAAAGTTTGGGGTCTGTTTTTAAAATCTTGTGCCTTCAGGACTAAGTCCTAACTTCCCAGCATGGCATTGCACAAGGTCTTTCATGATCTGATCCTGACCTCTCTCTACTGCCTCATCTTGAATCCCTCCTCTTTTCAACATTCACACAGCAAGTCCCAGACTCCCAATGATTAAAATTACTAATTACTAGAACCAGTTCATATATTCCTCATTTTTTCAAATATGCAATAGCACAAAGAACCTTCTATCTATGAGCCTGCCCCTAAGCTGGGTCTTTTGAACCTTTGGCCTCTAAATCCTTACAGTTTGGCTGATGGGTCTGATAACCATTCTAGATATGATAAAATGGAGGTGGTGCTTAAAGATTAAGTCACTTGCCCATTGCCACATAATTATTAATTAGTACAGACTGGAGGCAGGATTCAAGCCCTCTTTATACTACATGGCAGCAACCCTCAGAAGTAAATAATAAAGACCCTGCCCTTGGACCTGTGGAAAAGGTAGTTTGTGCACAGCCCCCTATGCTCCCTTATGCTCAGGGCAGAGGTCTTGTGGTTTATGTCCTCTTCTCCATTGTGGCAGAGTCATCCAGGGTTAAAGGTATGGATATCTGGGGGTATGGCTATCTCACAAGCCCAAGGATATAAAGCTAGAAGGGAACAGAGCCCAGATTCAGGTCCATACCTGGCTCATCCAGTCCCACAGTCCCCTTTCTCCCTCATTGCTCTTGGTGGGATTAAGCCTTCCAGGTCCATCCCAGGCCTCTCACACTTATCCTTCCCATCAACACATTGGGTCCTGGTCTCATAACACAAGACGTGAACTCTAGTTCTGACTCTTTCCTAATTCAGTGCACTTTCCCTCTTGGCCTCAGTTTCCTCCTATGTAAAATGAAGGTACTATTGTTGGGCATGATAGTACAGGAAATGGCAGCCACTGGCTGGGGAGGAGCTGTGGGCATTGAATTGTGACTCAGTGCCAGGCTTTCCTCAGCATTCAGACTTCTCCCCTCTGGGCCTGACCACCCTGCCACACCTATCTCTGAGTCTTATAGCCTTAATAGAAATGAGCATGAGGCTGGGTGGGAGCGGGAGCCCAGGATACAGGTGGGGCTGCTGTGATGCACACACTGTCATGCCTGCTCAGCCCCTGGGTGAGGAAGCAGGGCCAGGGTGACATCACTCATCTCCCCTCCCCACCCTCACCGCCCAGGCTGCACAGTTGAGATAAGAAAATATCTCACAAAGGAAAATTCTGCCCTCAGAGCCTTGGTCTACAGTAAAGATATCATCTAGGTTCATCCAGGTTCCAATCTCTTCTCTTTCCTGGGGCCAGGAATCAGAGGGAACTCCCAGAGGATGGAGTAAGATCAGCCCAAGAAGGCAAACCTGTTACAAATAACTTGGGGCACCTGTTCTGGAAGGTTCTGAGAATCATGGTCTTGCTGGAATGGTCTCTGGTGGGGCACTCATGCTTGGGTCAAGAGCCCCCAAAGGGAATCAGACAGTCCTAGTTAAATAGCTGATAAATAGCAAGATACTTGCCCTTGTCTCAACCTCTTCTTGTATGATAGCAGAATGAAAGTAACCTACCCTTCAGAGTTGCTATATCAAACTAAATGCCTCAGCTATGGATTGGGCTCCTGGGGGCTCCCTCCCTTCCAGGCCCTGCTGACCCTCCAACCAGGTGGTGCTCACCAACACGCGTGGGAAAGACATCCTCATCATTGATGAGGCCCTCGATCCAGTCCATGAGTAATGCCATATAGCGTGGAGCGGAGAGCTTGGCCGGCCGCCGGTACTGGCGCTCGTCCTGCCAGCGGTATTCGTATCGGGGCCCGCCGGCCATGACCGGGCAGCTGGACTCACTGCAGCGCTCAGCCATGGTGCCATAGATGAGGTTGATGCGGTTGAAGAAGTCCACCACGTGCACAGCGATCCAGTCATCGATGTTCTCGCCAGGTGGCAGCCTCACCACACTGCGCAGGTCCAGGCCCGACTTGAGTGATGCCTGTGCCTTCTTATAAAGCTCGAAGCGCTGTGTGCCTGGCTCAAAGCGCTTTCGCGGCCGGAACGTCTTGTCCTTGGCAAACACCTGCTTCAGGCAGAGAGCCATGGCTAGGCTTGGTAGGGCCAGGTGTCCAGGGGCAGGGATCTGAGGATGCTCTGCCAAGCACAAGGGCAGGGGTGGTGGTGGTCAGGGCCTTATCAAATGGGCTCTGACTTCTCAACACAACATTTGGGTCTCACCTCTCAGCCTGAGATCTGCTCCCTCCACGTGGAATGGAAATCCTCATCCTCCAGGCCTAGGGCCCCACCCCTTTCCAGGCTACCTTAGTTCTCCTTCTAGTACCCACATGCACCTCTTATCTTGTTTTGTTTCCTCTGCATCTCATAGTGGGCTGGGTCTGGGCTCCAAAGATAGAGACTACTGCAGGCTCAACAGGAGACAGGGGCCTGGAAGAGATGACTGACCTCTGGGAGCCCCACCTGTTTAATGTGGGAGAGCCTAGCTGCATTGTGCTGTGGGGAGAGGGAGGGCCCTGGCCTCCACTTCCTCTGGGATAGTTTATCCGGCCACCGGGGATTCCCAGAGAGCAGGAGGGACTTTTCTACCAAAAATGTCCTTTCCTTTTTCTTTACTCTGAAAGAGGAAAGGGACCTTACGTGGCCAGCTGGGTGGCCGCTGAGTGTGGCCACAGGCACTGGAGGAAGGGGAGGGTGGCCAGCCTATAAAAGCACTGCTTCCTCTGACAATGGCTGCAGGTTCTTCCTTTCAAGCCAGCCTCCTCCTGATCAAGCTTCTCCGGCCTTCCCCCTGCATCTGAAACACTATAAACATTTCTACCACATCTACTGTGCACCTGACACTGGAGGGTAGGAGAGTGCAGTCAGATTTACCCGGCTGGGCCCATCTAGAACTCAGACATGCAATGCTTTTTTCCATTGCCCCCTACAATGGAAGTATCCCAGAAAACAGAACAGACTTGGGAGAGAGGCAGCAATCAGCCCCAGACAAAAAGGCAGGAGTGCTGGGTTCACCACTGGATTGCTCGGTGACACCTGTAGCACCATAGATTTAAACCATTCAATTCCTGTGTCACTATGATACAGCCAGATTTTTGAGTATCTGAGGGCATCATCTCATCTCCCCTGTGAGTGTGTGAGCTATTGGGAAATGCAGACCGAGATACCTGCTGAGACTGGAACTTAGCCACAAACTGAGCACTGACCCTGGCCCCAGACTTAGCACTAAGGCCAAGTATAAGCTAAGCAGTGAGCTTGGGCTCCAGGCTGAACTCTGACTTGGCCTTGACCCTGGTCAGTCTGAGCCCTAACTCTAGGCCCACAATGAAGCTTGAATACAGTCAAAGACAAAGCCTGGTCTTGACTTCAGAGTGACTGAATGACATTGGAGCATTTTCCTTTCTCACATATCTGGTAATTGTTGGGACAAGACTGAGGAAGGGAGGGTGGGAACAAGGTGACAACTGTTTGTAGCTAAAGGCATGCCACATATGGGCAACAACTCAGACTAATGGAGGAGATGTTGGAACTAGGGTCCTTCCTTATACCCATAATAGGCAAGCCAGGATGGTTACTACAGGCAGTTTGGAGAGGCCTCCCAGCAGGATCTTGCCCTCTGGAAAAAAACCTTGAACATGTGGAAGTTCCTCTCATCCATCATGACCCATTAATTTCTTCCTGAAGAAGTGCCAGGACCTGAGCTTCTTTTCTCATCTCGTTTTGAGGTACTAGGAAATGAATACAGATCCTCGCACATGCTGGACAGCATTCTACCACTGAACTACATCCCTGATCCAGCACCTGAGCTTCCTGAAGCAAAGAAGAGGAGGTATCTAGGCTTTAGTTTTCATCTCTGTTTTAAACCTGTTTGGGGTAGGTGCTTCCAGAATCACTCACACACACTGCCATTAGGTGGGGGTTCCTGGGTGCTCTGCTTTTACATGGCCCCTTTTACTGAGAGTTATAGACATCCTGGCATTCAACTCCATACCCTACCTCTCTAGCCCCACTTTCCGCTTCCCTACACAAACTACTTTGCTTCTTCCTGATTTCTGAACACACCTCCCATTCTCCGGTCTGTGTGTTTTCTCCAGCTGCACCCTGCCTGAACATACTCCACCAAGTTGAATGCCACCTCCTCCTGCAGCCTCCTCTACAGAGCTTGATATCCTCTTTGTATGGAGATGTCTCTTTGGCCACTCTCTCTCCACCCCATGCCTAACCTAATTCAGGGGCAGGCACAAAACTGGTGCTCAGTTTTTAAGGGAGTTTTAGTATTAAAATAGCCCTGAGAAATCAACTCGTCCAACCCACTTGTAAAGATAGGGAAACTGAGGTCCAGAAAGGAGACTTGAGGACACTGCATTCACATAACAAATTACAGGCAGAACTGGGAATTGGGATAAAGAGGGATTCAGCCCATGACAAGGAGCAAAAGACCATTTTCCTGCACTGGCTGGTCACTGGCCTGGTGGAGATAAGGACAGAGAGTGGGGTGAAGGGAGAGGGGCAACATCTTCCCCACTAATCAGACCAACCTACTTCTTTCCCCCCCAACACACTGACAATACCCTTGGCAACTTGGTTGTCCTGACTAGGAAGCTAAAGTCCCACCTACCTGCTGTAGAATTTCAAGGCCTTGGACTTTTACTAGGAAAATGTAAGCTGAGGGTCAGTGCAGGCAGGTCTTTACTCTCCACCCTGCTCTCCCTGAACCACTACCCATTCCCCCTCTTAGTCGCTATTTCCTAATGCTGGGCAAATGGCCAGTGGCTTGCTCACTCCTGGCTGTGCATCTGGACTCCCAAATAAAGACCACAGGGTGACCCTGCCTGTTTTCTGACATTTAGCCCCCTGCCCGGGCCACACCCACCCCTCCTTGGACCTGGCCAGGGAACTCAGTCAAAGGATAGTTCCAGAGTGAATTAAGAATCCAGCACGGGGCCCCCTGCAGGACAGATATCCAAGAGAAAGTGGAGTCGAATTCTCCACACTCTCCTGGCAGCGCTTGGCCAGCCATGCCCACCCCAGTCTCCCCTGGACCTTCTAAGAACCTCTCCCCTCTCACCAGCTGTCAGGGCAAGCAGGTTGTGGGACCCAGAGGAGCCAGCCTGACATTTCCGCTCCCGAGGACACGCCCCCCTCAACCACCGCCACCCCCAACCCGGACTTTCGCTACTCTTGAGTCTTCGGCCTCGAGTTGACTGTGGGCACCCTGCTTTTAGGCCAGAATCTTCTCCGGACCGTGCCATGCCGGGACCGTGGAAGAAATGAAAGTAGAAGTAAGGCAGGGACCCTGGGGCGCGGGCGCTCACTCACGGGGTCCGCCAAGACGGGAGAGCTCGAATCTTCCTTGGGCTGCGGTCACATGCCAGCGCGCTGGGTCGCCCTCCTGTGGGTCCTCCTGCTCGGCAGCTCCCCTCGCCTGCCTGCCTGCCCTGCTCCGCTGCGGCCGACCTCCTGCCCGCAGGGCGACGCCAGCTCCGCCCCGGGCCCAGCCACGCCGCGGCCACGGGGCGGGGAGGGGCGGGGACAGGGACTCCCCCACCCCAATACACAACACTTCACTTGCGCTTTTCCGGAAAGTCCATATCAGGCTCCCAGCTTCCCGCTGAGCGAGGCACTAACTGAGGGGTCGGTCCTCTGGGGGTCTTCTTGGCCCTTTAGACTGTAATGTGGACATGTCCAGCTTCTTTTTGGAGCAAACAAAAGGGCTGCTAGATAAATGGTGGTTTTCTTGCCTTCCTGGAATCTTTGGTGCCTCACTTGTCCCTGAACTCAATAAGAGAACCTGTCTGCCCTATCCACAGGGAGCAGGCGCTGAAAATCCACTTCAGTGAATGAATGAATGAATGAATGAATAAATGAATGTCGTCTGTCTTGGGAACCATGAAGTGAACATCTCCTGAGAGGACTGACCCCCAATTAGTGCTCAAATCAACAGACTTCACCTTTCCCATCAGGGCATGGGGTATAGGGTGGCTTCCTCTGGCTGGACTGATTCTCACTCCTCACCTAAAGTCACCCATTTCCCATCTCCAGATCTTTGTTACACCTGTTCCCTCTTTGGAATACCTTCTTTTGCTCCTTCCTTCCTTCCAACCAAATCCAAATCCTTCCAGACCTGATCTGCTCTGCCTACTCCTCTACCTGGATTCTCTCTTGGAGACAGATAAGTATCTCACATTAGTGTTCAATTATGCTGTGATCCAGGTCCAGGAACAAGTCACCTGGCTCTGTTTGGGATGGGAAGGAAGATTGGAGGTCTTCCTTGCCAGAAGGGCCAAGGCAGACAGCCGGGCTGCAGAAGTCACTCTGGAGGAAAGTGGGAGATGAACAGGTACAAGTAGGGGAGAGCTGGAGGCCATAGATGGGCACATACCATGGCACAGATGTCCCAGTGGGCTCCTCTTAGGTCTGGACCTGCTTAATCAATGACATGGAAACCCCAGATCCTTAGGGATTTGAGGGCTGGGGGAGTAGTTCAATGGTAGAGAGCTTGCCAAGTATATGTTGAGGCCTTGTATTCAATCCCCAGTACTGGGGGATGAGAGTTCCAGCTTAGAACTGAGGATCCATTCTGTTATTGAGCACCTATTTTTCTCGTGTCTGAAGTTCTCTATATTTTTGTGTCTGGGCCTTATTGTGCTCCAAGTCCCCAATAAGAAACACTTACCTATGGAGAGAATTCAAATCTACTCCTTTATTTAGTATCCTAACCAATACCTTTTATTGAGCATGATTGTGCACAGAGATCAGGGGATTGGATGATGACGTTTATCCAGTTACTGACTTCAGGTGCCGACAGGTCAGCAAGGGGAAAACACATCCACAGATAACACAGGTCATCCAGAAGTGAGAATATGGTTGAGCACTGATGGCTGAATTCTTGGTAAGAATGGGGATGTCTAAAGGAAAGATGCAGAACACCCTAACTGGGCATTTTTTAGGAGGGGTACTGGAGATTGAACTTAGGGGCACTTGACCACTGAACCATACCCTCAGCCCTATTTTATATTTTATTTAGAGACAGGGTCTCACTGAAATTGCTTAGTGCCTTGCTTTTTCTGAGGCTGGCTTTGAACTCTCAATCCTCCTGCCTCAGCCTATTGAGCCTCTGAGATTACAGGCATGCGCCGCCGTGTGGGGCATACTGGGCATTTTGAGCTCTCAATATGAGTTTAATAAAGGAACTATTGATAGGTAGAGTTGTGGTGTGGGAGAACCATGAGGATATGTAACACCAAAGGATTAGCAAAGGTGGTGGGTAGCTGTCAGCCCTAAGCTGAAGGTGCACAGGACAGGTAAGATTAGGATGTATGGGTGGGGGGCCATTGACAGGCATTGGGGCCTACAGGGGAAGAGCATGATCAGTCCACAGCAATCAAATGGAGAAGGACTGGGGAAAAATAAGGGACCTCACTTCCCTCCCCCACTCCCTCCCATCTCTGGCCAGGTTCCTCATTAGTGGAATCTCACCAGAAGCCAAGGACAAGGGAACTTGTTGCTACAGCCAATAGGGGTCAGTTTCCTGGGCACAGGACTGGATGGAGGGTGGAGATCTGGAGAGTCAACATGGGGTCAGGGCTGACTTCACAGAGGAAATGACTTAGAAACTCCTTGTGCTTTCCTTATCATTCAGTTCTAAATATTTCACAAATTTCATTGTAATTTCCTCTCTCTTAACTCTTGGATGATTTAGAAGTGTGTTTTTAGTTTCTCACCCTATGAGAGGTTTATGTTTTTCTTGTTGACTTCTACTTATATTGCATTGTGGTCAGAGATCATGGTCTGTGAGATCCTTTGGAATTTGATGTGACTTCTTTTGTGGCTTCGTACATGGTAATTTTCTGTGCCTCTGAGTTGGGTTTTATAGGATGGGCAGGAATTTGGTGAAGAGTGAAAAGCACAGAATCTCACACTGTGGGAAATAGGTGGCCCATTTAGAAGGAACTTCAGAAGTTTCAAATTCATCTGCACAGTTCTGGGTGTGTGTGGGAAGGGAGGCAGGTAGGAGTGGGGTCAGAGATAGCCCAGATCCTTCAAACACCTGCCCCCTTTCTGTTGCTCTCAGTTTGGGCTAAAGAGACTGTGTGTTCTCCCAGGAGGCCTGTTGGAGCTGAGAAGGCCCAGATCTTGGAGATCCTGGCTTTACCATGTATTCACTGTGTGATCTTGGGTTAGTCTTGCCTTCTCTGAGGCATGTACTGCGCACCCACACAAGAGAGGCACTCTTCCCTGCTACTGTGTCCTGAGTGTAAATGGCTTCAGAAGGCTCAAATGAGGCCCATCTTAGCAGCTTGATAGGAGCCAATGAGGACCTAGGAGAGTATATACTCTCTTCCACTGCAGAATCTTGGCACATACCTCCATGCCAGTGGCTCCAAGTGACAGCTTGGTGGTATCCAAGGGTCATGAGATCTGGACTCCTGTCCTGGGTCTCCCACTGCTCTATATTTTTTCTGAGAAAGACCCTGTCCCTCATTGGCCCTCAATTTCCACATCTGCGCCACAAAAACATCTTCCAGCCTAATATCAAGTACCTTATCAAAACCTAAAAAGCTTCTGGCCCCTTGCCCATCTGGACCTGCACCCAGTGACTCCTTGGATACAGAGTGGTCTCTCCTGGGGACTCCATGGGCCCTCCCATGCCAGGAAATGTTCTCCATCCCCATCCCCTTCCCAGAATGAGCTACTATACCTACAGTGTACCTCACCAGGTACATCGCATCCACTATAACTTTTTAGGTCTGCCCTCTCCTCACTTGCATTTAAGAGTTTCTATTTCAGCTTCTGCCCTTTCCTGCCCAGGAGGAAGGATCTTCCATCTTGGATCTCCTATCCTGGCCCTTTGAGGAGACAGCATGGCAGTAAGAGAAATTGAAGTGAGACTCCCTTTGGTGTGAAGAAGACAAGGTTCAAGGGAATATGGCGGGGGAAGACAGGGTTGACAAAGATGTACATTAAAATTCAGTGTTACCTTAGACAAAGCACTTGTTCTCTGAGCCTATTTCCTCTTCTCTAAAACAGAAATAACATCTGCTCCATAGAAGGGATGGGGTATGATAGCCCTTGTAAACAGCAGAAGGCAGTGGCTAGTCTGTTTCAGGGATGCTGCCTTCAAGCACCCAGCAGGTGTTTTTGTAGAGTAGGAACTGAGTTTATTCTAGGCTCCTGGAGGCAGAGACCCAGACAACATGAAGAGACACTGGCAGGTCAGAATTGTCCAACCATGCAGCCTAGATGCTTGTGCTCTTTCTTGGGAGGGAAGTGTGCAAGCAACCCTGTGACAAGGTGTTCAGGGACTCAGTCCTTCTGATGTGTAGGAGGGCCCCCTTGCCTCCAAGAACTGCTTCAAGATTCTCTGGACTCTCCCAGCATCTTATCCATCATTTGAATTGAAGGCATTGCCCCCAGCTGTCCAGGTTTAAGGTCCTCCATCTTCAGAAGGAGACTTTTGGAGGTTGTGTCAGAAGCCCAGTTTGTGTAAAAGTAGCTTAAGGCAATTTCATGTTCCCCTAGACCTGACCTTCAATATGGTCCTGGTAGATGATTAGTCCCTCCAACTACTTGGTTTGTTCCCAGTAGAGGTTGACCCCAAGAGTGGAGGTGATAGTTGGGGAGTGGATTTCACCAGTGTCCCAGACTTAGCCTTCCATAGAACCTACCACAAAGGCTGTACAGAAAGTTCTGTCCCACCCTACCTTCTTCTCTGCTGTTGTGGTTTCTCACATTCAGCCTTTGGGGCTACCTGCCTAGAGCATCCAGTTCAAAGCCCTTCTACAGGATGCTTCCTCAGATTTCCCCAGACCCTGTGGCACTTTCTTCCTCCAAGTATGTTCACTAACACTTGTCTCTGAGTCACCAGTGGAGATGGGGGTGATTTTATAGTCCCCAGAGGGCTGGGGTGATATCTTTTTGGTATTAAGAGTAGGAAATTAGTATAGTTTTAATGTCTTAGAGAGAGAGCATTGTCATTCATTTGACAGGTGTTTTCTGAGGGCCTGTTAGGTGTTAGGCACTGTATCTGGGCCAGGTTATGTGGGTGATGACAGAGGCCTCAGTCTTCGAAGGTGCTTCCCCTGGTCCAGGTGTCTCTCTTCCTAGCTCAGAAGACTGAGGCTGCAAAGGATCATTAGTGAGTGACAGAGCAGGGAGGAGGTGAGTTTTAAAGGGGAAGGGTTCTTAGATATCACTTAAACTCTTTGAAGTACATGGGGAAACTGAGGCACAGGGAGAAACAAGGATTGGCCCAGTGCTAAATCATAAAATAAAACCATTCACAGAACCTTCTATATACCTATGATGAGATATATATTATCATTTCTTCCTCTCAGTAACCCTGGGAAGAACAGAAGGAGGTTGTTTTTTGAGAGCTTTAAAATAGTACCTTCAGGGATGGAGGGGCAGGAAAGAGAGACAGTTCCACCAAGTGGGGAGCCGGGATTGAACATGTTAGTATGAGATCCCAAACCCTGCCTTGCAGTGCTCTCTGGGTCCTCTCCAGGCTTCAGTTTTGGGAGATGAGAAGTTGTGTCTGCTGCCTACAGACAGCCTGCAGGCAAGGGTGGGGCT